TCATGATCTGGGCCAAGTGACATCGCAGATGCAGGGTTTGTGCAGGTCCTTAGGGCCTGCTGTTTGCAAACTGTATAGACATTGGTGACGTGTTATGGCGTGTCACCATCTCTTTGTGTTTGCAAAGTTGCTCGAGCTGTCAGCTGCATGGATTATCCACAGCTTCATGTTTATGTCCAAGGAAGAGCGCTAGTGAGGCTTTGACTTTCATCCCTGCCAATAGTGTTTGCCTTTGGTGCTCGTGAATTCTTTCTGCTTTGACTTCCAGTCTTGTGTTTTTTGATCTCGGACTTGCAAAACTCTGCTCCGAGTCACGGCGTTGCCATGCTGCCAGGGCTTCTTCCGTTTGCCCCGCTTGGCGGCAGAGGCGGCGCAGAGCCCACAGACCAAGGTCCGGTTGCTCCGGTGTGTTCGGTGTCCGAAGCGATGGACGGGAGCCGAAGGGATCAGAGGTGTTCACACGGATTTGGAGGTCGTCGACTCCGGTGGTGTTTCGTTGACTGCAACGGTTTCTATGGCACCGCCGCATGTTCTGCTGCAGAGAAACCGCGAAGACCGAGCAGGGGTCCAAAGTTGACCCATGGGTGAGAAACGAGCACTTGACACCTCCTGTATCATTGTCGCCAAGGGTTTTTTGTATCAATGTGGTCCACAGTCTGGAAGTCAATGCCAACCCAGATTCAACGATGAAATTGTTTATATAGATGGACTTACAGTACACTGTCATAATTTCATAATGCCAATTGTCTCGCAAATTCAGCAACGTCGACTCCAAGAAGCAGTATACCCTGGCAACAGCGAGCAAGCGCCCTTTTTTGTTCCTTGCGATGGACTTGCTTCAGTGAGATGCAGAGGCCGCTCGGCGTGTGAGCTTTGTAATTACATCAGTGTTCTTTTTTCTTTTTGAAAGCGTCGCGTTGGAAAGGCTCCTTTTTGTGCCAAGAGTTGTCCACCACTCCGGATTTGGTAGCCAGAAGTTCCGCAACTTCCTTTTAACTCAACTGAGTATTCTTGTACCTGACGTTCGAAACAAATGTAATTATTATTCAAGGGCACTGGCGACAAGTGTGAGCAGACAAAGACAAGTTTCACCAAATCTCTTGTCCGAGGACGTCGCGATCCTTGAGGAATGAGGCGCAGGGCAATGAAGGGGAGGTGCACTTCACTGAAACAACTGCCAATGTGTTGCAGTCATCCACTTTTATGCTGCCACGAGTTTGGACCAGTGTTGCATACACATACCAATTGCCAATGGTCACGGATGGCCAGCCAGTCGCATGGCCAGCCGCATGGCCAGCCGCATGGCCAGGACGGCACAGCCAGGTCTTTGCCGTTTTGCTTTCAGTGCAGATGTAGGGTCTCTGCTGCTGGAGCCTTAGTGAGACTTAGAGACAAAGTCCTTCTGAAGTGGTCTGGTGGGAGACCAATCTGTGTGTCTCCTCGCCCAAGTTGAGAACGTGAGGCGTTGTCGCGCGGATTGCCTACTGCCTCGGTCACTGGCAGAGGATGAGTGGAGCTATCAGGGAAACATATTCATTTGCATGGTATGCCGCATGCCTGCTTTTGGCAGTCCTCACAATATGACATTCAGAAGAGCTTTCTGGTTTTACTGTATCAAGTGTTGAAAAGAGAGGGACTGGGGATGACTCGGGACAGACAAAAACGCTCGGAGCTGCTCGGTTTCTTCGACTTCGACTATTGTTTTGTATCTCGAGGAGCTGATCGGAGACGAACCCCTCGACATTGAGGTGGGGTCAAAAAGCAATGGCATCTGTGGCGCCAAAGTGAGTCTGTATGGGTTTCCACACTCTGTTTAAAGACAGTATATACGTACTACCTGCCCCTTCTGGCCACGAACAGGGAGGTTCCAGGAGCACTAGTGGCTTGAGTAGTCGACCTGCTTGAGGTCGATTTGCTCCTGGATGGAAAGGTCTTTGGCACTGGCCAGTCTTCCAAGGCTGTTTTTGACACCCCACAGTCACAGCCTCAGGCCTCAGGATCGGACAGAGGGACAGAGTGTTTGTTTGCTTGTTTCTGCTCCAACTGATGCACTTCAGTACTGTTCCCTTTTGGTTCAGCTGGGTATCCCGAAGCGGGCGTGATCGAAGCATCTCTTGAATGCAGTGAGAAGCTGTCTTTCCTTTGGTTTTCCCTTGTTTCCTTTGTCCTTTTGTGAGACGGGGGATCTTCAAGCCGCAGCAGTTCATTTTCGCCATCAAGGCACCCGCGTGGGCACCGCGTCGGCACCGCACCTGCATCCGGGGCAGTCGTTGTTTCTCCGCCTCGCAGGTCCGGGATCTCCCCTTGGAGAGTCAATTGTTCTTCCGCTGGCGCCGCTTGGCGGCAGCTTGGCCCAGCTGTCGTCTGGGGACGATAGACTGAAGACTGAAAGTAACAGACATGAGCTTTGGAGTATGCAACAACTGGAACAAGTATATAGATTGGATAGGTGTTGGCCAAGCTATTGTCTGAGCATGTCTGAGCCATTTGAGCTCTGACCCTCTGCTGAAACACACCAGGTGACGCCTCGAGTGTGCTGCGCTGCGGAGCCGGGAAGCTCAGACGGGCCAGGTGGTCGGTCCCCCGACCTCAGCTGCTTAACGGGACTTCACTGGTTTGTCTGTGATTCACCCTTTTTGGGTCGGGAGTTGGACTTCAACAGGCTTTGATTGGGCAAAGCCTCAGGATTTACTGACCGGTTTTACCAGCCTAGTCGCTGTGCCATCGTCAACTCGACAATGGGTCATGGGTCATGGGTCAAGTGCACTTTGTTGTCCACCTGGCACGCCTGGCACACTGAACAGATCAAAGGGTCAATGAGTCTCTTCATGTCATTGATCTTGCTTATCATTTTTGATCATCTTTGTATGCTTTCTCACTTGCCTCCACAGTTCCGTTCTCCCAGTCTGTCTCCCCATGACTGAATGGCCCGACTATTTGATTTTGGCTCGTCTCCAACATGCCTCCCCATTTTGTATCTCAACTTGGATCGAGACGCCTTGCGAATGTCCGATCTCTCTATATAATTATATTATAGATCTATTTCGCATTGATTTGGTGTATCCACTTTTCTCATTTTGATGTTAGTTTGGGATTTGGCAAATTGGATACAACCCTGTGAAGGACCTGCCCAAAATGATTTGTCGACTACGTTGGAGAGAGTGACCATCAGCTTGGCTGCTGCTACGTTTTCTTGCTTTGAGGTTCGTAAGTCTTTACAAAGAAGAACCCTTTGGCGACTGACATTGACATGAGGTACTGCCCCTCTTCAACGACCGCGGGGTGCTACGGCAAGGCCCCTTTGGGCCCTTTCTGCTGGTTGGGCCAGATAAAAAGGTTCTTTCTGAGATTCCATTCGCGGACAACGGAAAATGCTTGCGACACATTTGTTCTCAGAAAGACAACACACTCATCGGAACAAATTGTAGGATACCCACAAAATACATCAACATACTGAACTACATACCATTATAGATTATCCAACTAGAAGCTAGTAGTAACAAGTGCCTTACTACTAGTAACAAGAAGCTAGTAGAAACAATAATTAGACTAGATTATCCAACTAGAACCTACCAGTCAGAAGGCACATCCGACCTTCTCAGGGCAACGACTGGTAGCTCTGATGCCGGAGGCGGGAGACGCTGCAAACACACCTGCACTACCCGCTGTACAGATCTTCAGATTCGAGAAGCAGGGTACAGGTGGGGTAACCAGCCCCGAACAGGGTAGCTGAGGCCTGAAGGTGAGAGAGTCTGTCCACTATTTTGAGTCAACATGTTGTTGCCCACATAACATGCAGGACAGTGAGCGTGGTGAGCTCAGAACATGTTTGCCGTGCGACCCATGCTTCCACTTGGCCCGAGACAAACTATGACACAGTTCCTGGTGACAGCCACATTGGCAGAGAAGAATTGTTTGTGTATATTCTAGGCCTTTTGCCTGGACACGTTCTGGTTTCCAAGGAGCTGGAGCAGATTCCAACGAGGCAGCCATTGGCGATTTGCCGCACGTTTTTGCGGCCTGTTCCGAGAAAGGACCCGGGTCTTCACTCGTTGATTTGACATCAGAACACGGTTCCAGGCGGCTGTTGCCTGGGTACAAGCTGGGGACCCGCAGAGACGTTAGACCCGTTAGACTCCGCTACACTCCTTTAGACGGAACGAAGGGAGACTTTGCGATCACCGGACCCAAGACGGTTTCTTTGCTACTAGTGACAAGTGCATCGCTACTAGCAAAAATGCATTACTACTAGTAGCAAGACGCTAGTAACAAGAGCTCCCATAGCATCCTGGCAAGAAGACCCTTGCTTCTTCCTGCCTGCAGCCTTGACTGGCTTGAGCTTGATCAATGCAGGAACTGTTTTGGTTCAATAAGGCCTAGATGCCTGGATTGACATAGGGCGGTACCAGCAACAGATCAGCCATGGCCAGCCCATTCTTGATGGATTTGTCTCTCCCGGGCATGCCGGGAAGATATCAGCTTTATATCAGTCAGCTCTCAGCACTTCCAGTGAACTCGAGAGGTCGATCCTGGATGGTCCAGAAACAAATCCCTCTAGACCCTCTAGACCAAATGCAGGGAGCTTGAGTGGTCTTGTGCATAATGGCTCTTTGCTAAGGCGAAACGGCTCTTCGCTTTGCCGATCAGGAGGAACAGAATATGAAGATCATTCCCAGGAACTGTGTGTCGACCATTACCATTCGTGACTCGGCGATGCACTTTTGCATTCAAGAACTTTGGGTGTCTAGCAGCTTTGATCCACTCAAAAAGTGGTCTCCCAAAAAAGCAGATAGAAACGGTTTCTAATACATTTTTTAGTGGGGATTTACTTTTTTTCAATCTATTTTGGGGGGTCTGTATACACTTACACACATGGCGGGTGGGTCAAAACCGGGAGAGCGACCGGTTGAACCGAATGGACGACCTACAAGGTGGTCAACCTACCGAGGTGGTCAAGGGCAACGCTCGAGGTTACGAGTTCTACGCATCCCTGGCTCATATAAACAGGTGTGGTAGGAGTAGGAACCTAACAGCTATCTACCGGATAGCAATGTTTGAACAAATCTAACGCAGACTGTGTACACGCGGTATCTCGCATGGAACACAAACTAATTAGTGTGAATTCGTGTTTGGGGCTCCGAGTTTTGACCCACAGCCAAATCATGGATCATGATCTTTGGTCCAGTTTCCCCAAGCTGCTTCTTTGCAAAGATTAGTTTCCCCAAGCTGCTTTTTGCAAAGATTTGCAAGCTTGCTTCCCCCTGGTTAACCATTGGTCAAAAGGTGAACTCAGCTTGTTGAGCTCACTAACTTTCTGCCAGGTGACACCGACAGAACTTTCTCGACCACTGACATGCCCAAAGCTCTGGCTTGCACTGGTGTCGGTGGTGT